TTTATTTATTTATTTGACAGAGAGAGAGACAGCGAGAGCGGGAACACAAGCAGGGGGATTGGGAGAGGGAGACACAGGCTTCCGGCTGAGCAGGGAGCCCGATGCGGAGCTCAATCCCAGGACCCTGGGATCATGACCTGAGCCGAAGGCAGATACTTAACGACTGAGCCACCCAGGCGCCCTGTGTCTGACTTCTTTCACTCAAAATCATGATTTTGAGAATTCATCCACTGTGTTGCATATATCAGTAATTAATTTGTTTTCATTGTTGGGTAGTACTCTAGTGTTTGGCTAAATCACATTTTACTAATGGATATTTATATTTTTTCCAGTTTTTTATTATTATGAATAAAGCTGCCATGAATGGTAATGTAAGTTGTTATGTGGAAATATGTTTTTATTTCCCTGGGGAGTGGAATTGACTGGGTCACATGGTGGGCTTATTAAGTTTAAATTTGTAAGACTCACCCAGTTTTCCAAAGTATTTTTTTTTTTTTATATTCCCACCAACAATATGTGAGAGTTCTCTTTCTCCAGAGCCTTGGCAACATTTGTTATTGTCAGTCTCCTTAATTTCAGCTATTCTAATGGATGTGTAATGATATCTCATTTAATATGCATTTACTTGATAAGTAATAATCTTAAGTGGTTTTTAATATGCTTACTGGCATTCCTGATATTTTGTGAAATGTCTTCATGTATTTTGACCATTTTTTTTTGGTTAAGATTTTATTTTTAAATAATCTTTCCAACCAAGGTGGGGCTTGAACTTAACAATTCCGAGATCAAGAGCCATATGTTCCACCCACTGAACCAGCCAGGCACCCCTTGACCATTCTTTTTTTTTAACCATCCATTTTTGACTGGCTTCTTTGTTTTTTTATAAATGAGTCATAATTTTTATATAACTGGTTTTTTAGATTAAACTTTAGACTTTGGAGTAATTATAGATTCATATGCTGTTTTAAGAAATAATACAAAGATATGCTATTATGCTATGTACCCTTTACCCAGTTTTCTTCAATGATAAACTGTAATATAATATCACAGCAGGATGGTGACATTGATACAATCTACCAATCTCATCCAGATTCACCGGTTTTACTTGTACTTACTTGTGTGTGTGTCCTCTCTTCTGTTTTGTGTCGTGTATAGTCATCACAACAGTAAAGATACATAAGTTCCATCTCGTGTTGCCCTTTTATGTCCACCTTTCCCTTTCTTGATCTTAAGGTGCAGCAGCCACTGATTTTTCTCCGTATATATAGTTTTGTTATTTCACGAATTTTATATAAATGAAATAATACAGTATATAACCTTTTATTTTACTTTTTTTTTTTAAGATTTTATTTACTTATTTGACAGAGAGACAGCGAGTGAGGGAACACAAGCAGGGGGAGTGGGAGAGGGAGAAGCAGACTTCCCAGTGAGCAGGGAGCCCGATGCGGGGCTCAATCCCAGGACCCTGGGATCATGACCTGAGCCAAAGGCAGACACTTAATGACTGAGCCACCCAGGCACCCCGATACATAGCCTTTTAGAATTAACTTTTTTCACTCAGCATATTTCTGTGGAGATTAATCATAGTTGTCTTATATATCAATAGTTTTATCTTCCCTGCTGAGTGGTATTCCATGCTATGGATATACCACAGTTTGTTGAACCATTCATCCATTGATGGACATCTGGGTTGTTTCCGTTTTGGCTAATAGGAATAAAAGCTGCTATGAATACCTGTATACAGGTTTTTGTGTATCAGTTTTCATTTTCCAGAGATAGATACCCAAGGGTGAAATTACTTGGTTGTATGGACATTACAGGTTTAGTTCTATAAAACTTCCAAAATGCCAGAGTGGCTGTAACCTTTTAAATTTCCACCGGCAGTATATGAGTGATCCAGTTCCTCTCTTTCCTCAATATCGTTAGGTGTTGTTACTATTTTAAAATTTAACTTTTTTCCTTTTTTTTTTTCTTTCTTTCAAGAGAGAGAGCACGTGAGAGTGGGTGGAGGGGCAGAAGGAGAGGGAGAGAGAATCTTAAGCAGGCTGCACGCCCAGCACAGAGCGCAGCACAGGGCTCGATCTCATGATCCTGAGATCATGACCTGAGCTGAAATAAGAGTTGGTGCTTAACCAGCTGAGCCAAAATAAAGAGTTGGTGCTTAACCAGCTGAGCCACTCTAAAATTATTTTTTTATTTTAGATGAGAGCCATTCTGATATATGTGTAGTTATATCTTGCTGTGGTTTTAATTTGTATTTCCTTAATAGCTAATGAAATTGATTATCTTTTCATATGCTTTTTGCCATTTGTGTATCTCCTTCAGTGAATTGTTTGTTGATGTCTATTTTGGTTTGCTAGGGCTGCCATAAGAGAATGCCACAGAATGGGTGGCTTGATTAACAGAAATTTATTTCTCACCGTTCTAGAGGCTGGAAGTCTACAATCAGACTGAAGGCAGGTTTGGTTTCTCCTTAGGACTCTCTCCTTGGCTTACAGGTGGCTGCCATCTTTCTGCATCCTCATGCTGTCCTGTCCTGTAGAATCCAAATGTCTGACAGATTTCCTTTATTTTGTTACTTCTCTCCCTTTTACTACAAAATGGCAGTGTCTCTGTTGTATAATCCCATCTTTCTGGCTTCTGCTGTGACATCTGATTATATTCCTGAATTGACACCCATGATCTCTTGGTGAAATACTTTTCTAGCCACACTTTTGAAAAAGGTCTGATGATGAGTTCTTGTATTTTGCAATATGGATAGGCTGAAAATTTTCCAAATCTTCCAAGTTCTAGTTCTTTTTTGCTTAACAGTTCCTTCAACTTATCTTTCTCATTTTTATCATAAGAAACAAGGAGAAACCAGGCTGTGCCTTTAATACTTTGCTTAGAAATCTTGTCAGCTAAATATCCAAGTTCATCACTTTTAACTTCCACTTTCCATAGAACACTAGAAGAAAATTAGGAGACAAGTTCTTGCCGCTTTATAACAAGGGTTGCCTTTCCTCCAATTTCTAATAACATGCTCATTTCCATTGGAGATCTTATCATAATCACCTTTAACATCCATATTCCTACTAACACTCTCTTCAAGGCAGTGTAGGTTTTTTTTTTTTTTTTTTAATATGCACCTCCAAACTCTTCCAGCCTTTATCCATTACTTACTTCCAAAGCCACTTTCACATTTTTAGGTGTTATAGCAGCATTCCATTTCTGGGTACCAAAATCTATTGGTTTGTTATGGCTGCCATAACAAAATACCACAGACTGTGTGGTTTAAACAACAGCAATTTATTTCTCACAGTTTCTCACAGTTCTTCCAGGAGACTGGAATTCCCAATTTGATTACTCTTGAGGCCTCACTGCTTGGCTTACATTTGATTGTCTCCTTGCTGTGTCCTCACATGGCCTTTTCTTTGTGGGTGTGCACCAATGATGTCTCTCTCTCTTCTTAGGACACCAGTTTTACTGGATTAGAGCTCTACCCTTATGACCTTTATTTAACCTTACTGATCTCTTTAAAGGCCCTAGTAAAGTCACCTTGGGGCTTGAGGAAACACAGTTCAATCCACAGCAATGTCTTTGTCCCTTTTCTAATTGAATTTTTTTGTTAACTGTTGAATTTTGAAGTTTGAAATACATTCTGGATATTAGTCCTTTATCATCTATGTGCAGTATGGTTACAGATATTTTCTGCCAGTCTCTATTTTTTTTTCCTCTTAATGGGGAGCAAGAGTTTTAAATTTTGATGAGATCCAGTTTATCAGCATTCCCTTTTATGGACTGTACTTTAGTTGTCAAGTCTGAGAACTCTTCGTCTAGCTATATAACTGTTTTAAAAATCTGTCCTTCCATGTTGAAGGAAAAATGATTAGAGATTGCAAATTACACATTTTTGCTAGGGGGAATTTGTGAATATGCTGGAAGAAGGTTCACTTAGAATAGGGGCAGATCAGTTATGAACAAAATAATTTGTTGGGAGGGGGCACCTGGGTGCCTCAGTCAGTTAAGCATCTGCCTTCACCTCTGCCCAGCGTTTGGCTCCTTCCTCATTGGGGAGTCTGCTTCTCTCTTCCTGTTCCTGCTGCTTCCCCTACTTGTGCTCTCTCTCTCTTTCTGTCTGTCAAATAAATAAATAAAATCTTAAAAAAAAATTTGTTGGGGGATAGTTCTTACGTTTTTCTTTTTCTCGGTTCTTCTGTGTAAGGCATTGATAGTTTTTGTTCTGCACTCTCTTTTAAGGATGTTTATATAACAATTAACTTTGGAAAATAGTCAATGTCTATTTTATCTTACATGGTAGCATCGTCATCTGCTTGGTCAATCCAAATTGGAAACACAGGGTATCCTTACTGAGTGCCCCAATCTCATTCTTCACAGTCACTGCATCCCACTGATTTCAACTTCTAGGTAGCTCTTGTGTCTTTCCTACGTTTTCATCCTTATTACTTACTGCTCTGGTTCATCACCTTATCTTCTCATTTAAGTGTTCAAATTGCCTTCACATAATTGTTTGATTAGGGAATATCACTGGGGGTTTCCCTTCATGTTTATGTTCTTTTTTTTGGGGGGGGTGGAGGAGAGGTAGGGATTAAAAAGGAATGGTGTGAGTGACAGTCTTTCTTTAATGAGTGTTCTTTCTTGAGAAAAGAAAATTCTTACTTTTTGGCTTATGAAAATATTTTATTGGTGATTCAAGGATTTTTCTTTTTTTTTCATGATTATGCAGAGGAAATTTTGAGATGAAACAGTCTTTATTCCTATGTTCACATAGATATTTTGCCCAGAAGTGAGGTACAATTTTATAATTTTGTATGATTGATGGGCTTCATTACAATGTAGCACTTCGATATTTGTAGAGTAGATGAAAAATATATATTTAATTACATATAAGAATACAGTTTTCTAATATTCATCATTATTTCTAATTTTTAAGAAATATTTTAGTAGCTATATAATGTAAAAAATAGAAATATGGAATTTTTTTCTTTTTTTATATATAGGAATGAAGATCTAAAACAAATGTTGGAGAGCAACAAAGATTCTGCTAAATTGGATGCTATGAAACGGATTGTTGGGGTAGGTAAAATAGATCATTTCAATTTTGGAAAAGGGACATGTAGTGATTATATTAAATATGTGTTAAATAATATATTAAGTATCAAATCAAACATCTCATTTCCCTTTATATTAATATTTCCTGTCTAAAATGTTTTGGAAGAAGTTTGGAGTATAACAATTCAGATACTTGAGTTTTGTTTTTGTTTTCAGAACTTGAGTTTTAATTCCATCTTTTCTGTGTTCTAATTTCCCTATCTCTAATATCAAGATATTTCTCCTCTGAGATAGAAAGAACTAATCATTTTGAAGACAAAATAGGATTATATACAACAATATTTTGACTTCTGACATAGAGGGATTGTAGATTAGCTGAAGGATTTTCTTGTGTCATTTAATGGCCTAAAAATTGTGAGCATTCTTCTGTGTTTCAAATTCCCTTGCTACCAATACCAATGCTTTATTCAATTTAGTGTCATAGAAGTTCTTATTTTATTTTATTTTATTTATTTGAGAGAGAGAGCGCACAAGCAGGGGTGGGGGCAGAGGGAGAGGGAGGAGCAGACTCCCTGCTGAGCAGGGAGCCCAACGTGGGGCTTGATCCCAGGACCCTGAGATCAGGGCCCGAGCCGAAGGCAGACGCTTAACCGATTGAGCCACTCAGATGCCCCGTATCCTAGAAGTTCTAATGAATATTAGTAAATGCAAGAACATTCACCAGTTTTCAGTTGTAATGTAAAATTCAAACAATTGACTGAAAGTTATTAGAGGAGTCATTTGTTAGAGAGCTAAAAATATAATGCAACTCCTAATTATATATGAAATTTTTAATAGAATATTTTCGCAGTTTGTATTGTATGCACTCAAGGGGTTTTTTTTGCATTTGATTTTTTTTTTTTACATTCAGAGTGAAAACACTGTTTAATTCGGTGACTGTCTAATGCTAAAGAGTTTTGATTTTTTCTCAGTGGAATTAAATTCACAAAACCTGTCTTTCTCATTGCTACTGTACTGTTTATCACCACCATTGCTGATTTTATCTGTCACATATTTTTATATAATGTCAAAATGTAATATATTTGTAATAATTGCACAAATAAACTCTTATAATAAGATGACAATACAACTGAAATAATACTGTTTTCCAGCAGGAAATGCCATCATATGAGAGTTTGAAATCTCCTTTCTTTTCTTAGTATATTAAATTCAAATCCCATTTATGAAAGATGATTTTGGGTATCAGTATGTTCATTTAAGGGTGGCTTGTTATGAAAATCAGATTTATAAAAGTTAAGGACTAACTCTATCTGTAGAACACCTGCAGGTTATTTGATTCTTACATTCCGGTTTATGTCATTTGGTTATGATAGGGGACATGTTCAAGATTCTTTATGAATTTTTCAGTTGTTAATGTTAAGCTGTATAAATAATTACATTTATGGACAGGTAGTTCTTGCTTTGCATGGCTTTGATAACACACAGATTTCAGTTAACACAGTTTAGTTAAATAATACCAATCCCACAACAACATGTTTCAAATTTCAGTTACCAGGGCATATTAACATAGTAATTGCATAATGTACAAACTTCACCAGTAACTCTTGAATTCACAACTCACTATATAGATAACAAATATGCATCATGATCATTGACCAGTCATGTCACTTCTTTCAAAGTCTTTTATTGATTTGTCACTGTGTACATTACTTGGTATATGTACAGACAGCAAAACATATAGTTGTGTTCCCTCCTTGCTTCCCAGTGAGAAACCCACTTAACATTTTACAAAAATGGATAATGAGAGAGCTGTTGGTCAACAAAGATGAAAATGCAGCAAAGAAATAAAAAGTGATAATATTTGGGACACCTGGGTGGCATAGTCAGTTCAGCATCTACCTTCAGCTCAGGTCATGATCCCAGGGTCCTGGGATCAAGTCCTGCATGGGGCTCCTTGCTCAGCGGAGAGCCTGCTTCTCCCTCTGCCTGCTGGTCCCCCTGCTTGTGCTCTCTCTCTGACAAATAAATAAAATCTTCAAAAAAAAAGTGGTAACACTGGAAATGAAAATCAGGTATGATGTAAATGGAGTTATAGAGAAATAGCCAACTGTGGAAATGGTGACACAGCCATTTTTTGAGAGACTCTAATTATGTAGCTGGAAGAATGTAGTAAAGGTGAGCTTTTCAACATAAATAAAGGAAATGGTTGTGATGAAAAGGATGAAGATATGCCAGAGGAAGAAATGGTGCCAAAAAAACTTCACATTAAAGGAACTGTGGGAAATAATTTATAATACTGAAAGTACCAGGGATTATGGGGCACCTGGGTGGCTCGGTTGTTTAAGCGACTGCCTTTGGCTCAGGTCATGATTCTAGAGTGCCAGGATTGATTCCCACATCGGGCTCCCTGCAAGCAGGGAGTCTGCTTCTCCCTCTGACCCTCCCCCCCCCTCGTACTCTCTCATTCTATCTCTCTCTCAAATAAATAAATAAAATCTTTTTTTAAAAAAAAGCAAGTACCAAGGATTAAATATTAGAAAGTGATCCAAACTTGGATAGGAGTTTGGTAATTTACTAAAGATAGAAAAGATGCTTGCTCTGTGTCTTACTTGGTGAGAATAGGCAAGCCCATTCTGACTACTCTTGCTAAGTTAATTTCCAATGTTTCTAATGTTCTAAATTATTGGGTACTAAATAAATGCTAGTTTTACTATTTTTCAGTTTCCTATACACTTATAACTGACAGTAAGAGAGTTAATATTTTTACAAAATTTTTAAAAGTCACAGATTCATTGCAAGATTTATAATTGATTATCAGGATTGCTTTGCAATACCTCACTACCATATAAAGCAAGCACTGCTCTTAATTTCATTAAATTTTGGCTTTTAAAACATTCCTTGTAGGTGAATCATTTCACTAAATCTGAGGATTCTGTGGAAATTCCTAAATCTGAAAATGTGGCATTTGGTAATTTTTACAATTCCTCTTTCAAACTGATAAATAAAAATTTAATATTCTCATAATCTGGACTATCAAAAATGTAATTTAGGTATAAATGTATCATAAAGAAATGTAAAAAAAAAGAAATATAAATATAGCCATATATGCCTAGTACTTATAGACTGTCTCTCATTAAAAAGTTTGTATAAAGGGGCGTCTGAGTGGCTCAGTCAGCTAAGCGTCTGCCTTCAGGTCAGGTCATGATCCCAGGGTCCTGGGATCAAGCCCCATGTCGGACTCTCTGCTCAGTGGGGAGCCTGCTTCTGCTTCTCTTTCTGCAGCTCTCCCTGCTTGTGCACTCAGTCTCTCTGTCTCTCTCTGTCAAATAAACAAACAAAATCTTTAAAAAAAAAAAAAAGTTTGTATAAAGGTAAATTTCGAATTTGGTTTTTTAACTCTAGGAAAATGATCGGTAATTAAAAATTACTCTTTCACTTTGTATAATACCCTCAGGATCTATCCATTTTGTCACAAATGGCAGGATTCCTTTCTCATGGCTGAATAATATTCCATTGTATCTAATATCTGTATCACCTTTATCCATTTATCTGTTGACAGATTCTTGGGTTGTTTCTGTATCTTGGCTACTGTGAATAATGCTGCAATGAACATGGGAGCATAGATACCTCTTTGAGATAGTGATTTTATTTCCTTTGGATATGTACCCAGAAATGGGATTGCTGAATCATATGGTAGTTCTATTTGTAATTTTTTTGAGCAGCCTCCATACTGTTTTCCATGGTGGCTGTACCAATTTACATTGCCACCAACAGTAGAAAGGATTCCCTTTTCTCTACATCCTTGCCATCCCTTGTTATCTCTTGTCTTCTTGTGATAGTTATAATAAGAGGCTTGAAGTAATACCTCATTATAAATGTACACAATGTTTTTTTTTTTAAGATTTTATTTATTTGAGAGAGAGAGAGAATGAGAGATAGAAAGCATGAGAGGGAAGAGGGTCAGAGGGAGAAGCAGTGATGTAAATGTATATGTAAATTTTCAAATAATATTGAGGCATAAAAAGTAAAAGTTTCATCTTCTAGATAAATTTTAGAACCAAATTCTCAAGTTCTGTTAAAAATTGTTTTTGAACTTTGATTAGGATAATATGGAATTAATATATTCCCTTCTTGCTTTCTTCCCTCTTTCCCTGTCTTTCAGTAGCATTATATTTATGTTTTGTAGTTTTTATCATAGAGATCTTGTGCATTCCTTGTTAGATTCATTTCTGTGTATTTTTAAATCTTGATGGCCATTATGAATGGTCCCCTTCATTATATTTTTAACATTAATTATTAATGGTATATAGGAAAACAAATGACTTTTCTGTGCTCTGTATTTGGCCTCCTCAGTGAACTCTCTTCTTATCTCTAACAGTTTTTTAGTTTCCCGTGCTTCGATTTTCTGGATAGATAATTGCGTCGAGAAGTTATGAGAGATTTATATTTTATTTTCAAATATTTTTAACTCATTTTTTTATATGTAGAAAAAGCCTACTGGGCTCTATGTTGGAATTGCATTAACTCTATAATAGATCAATTTTGGGAGAATTAACATTTTAGCAGTATTTTGCCTTAGGACCCATGATCATGATTCTATTTCTTCACTTGTTTAGATCATCTTTAACTTCTCTCAACAGTGTATTATATTATAGCTTTTAGTATTAAATTTTAAGTTGTATTATTTTGTTAATACTTTAAATACTTTGTGTTTTTGAATGCTATTTATTGAATGATATATTTTAATTTTCAGTGAGCAATTATTGTTTTCTAATTCCCCCTTTTATTAAGTAACTAATAGTTATTTTACTTGAAATTTTTTCAGTGAGCTGTTAAATCAATCATTCGTTCACCTTTACTTTTGTCCAGTTTTTAATTTGATTTCTAAGTAGTACCATATTTCTATGTGGAAGCTTTTAAAATCATTTAGAAAATTCTCTGTTCGTGTGTGTGTGTATCAATTTCTTTTTTTTTTTAAGATTTTATTTATTTATTTGACAGAGAGAGAGAGACAGCGAGAGAGG